TTTTATATTCATTACCACCTACAATGTAGCATCTCCAAGAGAGAAGAAACATGGGCTTTTTATAAGTTTAATAATAAAAATACCAAGTGGGTTTACAAAAAATTTGGAAGTTAATTGTCACGGAATATATTAATAAAATTGTCAGCATTATATATGAAAGTTAATTGTCACGGAATATAATTAATAAAAATTGTCAGCAATTATATATATATTAATATATATATAATATATATATATATATATATATATATATGGCCTTTTCTAAAAGGTTCAATCTATAATTCCATGCCTTTTCTAAAAGGTTCAATCTATATTCTATGTGTGTTCTCCAATTATTTTTATTCAGTTCTCCAATTAATTTCAGTGAGCATCATGTGATTATATTATAAGAATTCAATTATATATGTGTTTATGGTAGTATGTTTGGTTTCTTTTGAAATTAAATGGACAATAAATATAGATATGTTTAAATAAAAAAAAACAATATTTTTTATATTTTTTTTTATTTATTGAAAGTAGCAACGGACTGAAAGTATTATAGCCGAAAAGTATCAAATCTGAAACCTCTTACTCTTCACATAAGTAAGAAGTACTCAAGCCTATGTCTCAATAACTTTTTTTTTTTTTTAATTTTGGCTTGGTGGTAATAGTAAGATGTATGTTTGAAATGATACGTCATCTTAACAAAACTTTGTATTATTGTAATACAAAAATATCATTCAAAATTTGAATTTTTATGAGTATATGTGTTGTTATTTTTAAAAATTACAACTTATTTTTAATTTCGAAGTGCACACATTGAAATGCTACAATCTTATTTGAATTTTAATATGACGGATATAATTAAAATTAGAAAATTAAATCACTTCAATTCCATTCAATTTTTCAATTATAACTTATTTTTTATTAAATCAATTTGATTTAAAAATCTCAAAAATCAAAGAAAAGTTGAATAAAATCTAAAATGATGCAAATAAATCCATTTAACTTGATTTAGTCGGTCTTATCGATTATTATTATCTCGCCCTAAAAATTAAAAAAAAAAAAAAAAAAAAAAAAAAAAAAAAAAAAAAGAGCATGACCCTAAATGGTGATATTGCTCCTTATAGCAATTTGAACCATAAGATAAGAGGCACTAAAGAAGGGTTGGTGGGGTTCTGCCGTGGGATGGACAAAAAAAAAAAAAAAAAAAAAAAAAGAATGCCCTAAATGGGATATGCCCTAAGCATTGAACCAAAGAAAAGAGGACTAAGAAGGTTGTGGTCCCTAATGACATTGAGAGTTGCTCTAACAAGAAGAAAATGGATTCTTCTTCTTTAACATCACCCTCTTACTACTTCTCACCACATGGTTGTGGTCCCTTTTAATTCCCTTATTTCTTCTTTTATTAAAACAAGATATATAGTGCATGATTAAAATGTTTCATTACTTAACATTTAATTATTATGAATTTGATAAATATAAAATTACTCTTGAAATTTAGAATTTTATTCACGTGGCATTCCAAAATTTTTGAGAGACTCATCAATGTCCATTAGTTTATAATTTTTAATAAAAATTTCGTACTTCGAAATTAATGGATATAATTTTTAGAAACTCATCGTATAGTTTAATGTATTTATTTATAATAAAATTGTAATTTCAGAGATCTAATGGATCTCTCAAAAACCTTAGTGGCAATGTTTGACAACAGTTTTAAATAGCTTTTAGTATTTTAACTGGTCAAAATGCTAAATGCTAATTTTTATAGTATTGATAACATAGCGTTTGAACTAGCTTTTAGAGATTAAAGTAGCATTTTGTAAAAAGTAAACTCATGTATCGTTTAGCTTTTAGCGTTTTATAAAAAATTACTAAAATAGCTAACAGATAAACGCTAATAAAATAATTAACAACACCAAAATAACTAATTTTACTAAACACACCTTATATCAATTTTAGCCTCCAATGCTAATTAACTATTTAATCAAATCATAGGATTGATTGTTAAAAGAATGACATTTTACTGTTTTTTTTCCTTTGAATATATAATTGGTGTTTAATCACCGGAATCCAATTTTCCTCCGAAACGTTACTTTTCTAGCAAAATAGAATTTCAGGAAAGTACTATATATAGGAATAACGGCTACATTCTCAGAAATTTAATTTTCTTCAACTTTCTGAATCCAGTTTCCCTTGAGATTCTAGCAACCAGGCCTCCCCCATGAGTGAAAATCAATTTTTTTATGGCTCAAATACAAAAAGAGAAATCGTGAATTTTATCTTCAAAAAAAAAAAACAAAAAAGAAAATCATTTTTTAATTCTATCATCAATTTTAAAATTTAGTAATATTTTGAAACCCTAATCTAGATAAAGTTGGGCAGAAATTACAAAATTAATTTACTAATCAACAAAAAAGTAACAATCAGTTGAAGATAAGCATACATGACAGGGGAGAAATCAGTATCAATTAATTGATTACCTACGTATGCTGACACGTAGAAATGGACGGGCATGAGTAAATAACACGCATATAATAAATTTTAAATTTTTTATTATTTTCAAATAAGGTACTAAATTTTATTTTATTTTATCTTTCTAATTTAAACATATTTGAGATTTTCCGACAAATTGTTTAGTAAAATAGCTGTGAATTCTCTGTGTTCGTTAACTCAAATTGTACGAGTAAAAATAGTTGTCCACGAACACAAAAAAAAAAAAAGAAAAAAAAGAATTAACACTGAAAAATCTCAATTTTCAGTAATTTATTTATAATTTTAACAATTAAAAATTAATTTTATTATGTATCATCAAGTTTATTGCTACTACAAATCAATTATTAAGAGCTCATTAAACAGTAAATGATGACTCATATTCAAACTTGCACGTAATTAATTGTTAGATTTTATATTATTTTTTATTTTATAACTATCATTATCTCGACTGTATTACCAGTGCCGTCTAATTATTTTTATACTGATATTGGTATTTGACCAATTGTGCTCCAACACAATAAATTCTACAACTAGTAACTATTAATTTGTTGGCTGCAGGTGATTGAGATTGATCAAACGGTGGATCTTGTTCTCTCTCTCTCATTTTATACTTTTGTTCTTTTTGTCTTTTTGTCTTTCATTTCCTTTTCTTTGGCAGTGACATTTAGAGGAAGAAGAAGATGATGATTTGATTTCCATGTAATGTAAATTGGCACATTTACATTTTTTACACGTCTGGATGATGTTTACATTTCTAATTCGAGTAATTTGTCCTCTTCTTAAAAAACAGAAAAAACAATAATTTGTCTAAATAGTTTCATTCGATTTAATTACATGAATCTGATTTTTTTTTTTTGTCTAAATTCAATCTAGTGAAAAATTCTAAACTTGGGGCTTGACTCAAATATTAATGTATTTTCTTAATATTTTAATTTAATTAAAAATAATTTATTTAAACTTAATTTGAAGTTATAATTAAAAATTTAAAAATTTTAAGCCTCACAGTCATCTTTAACATTTTACAATAACTTTTTAAGTAATTTTAAAATTTTGACTAACCTTAATTATTCTTTTTTATAGTGTTCGATAACATAACGTTTGAATTAAATTTTAAAGGTTAAGGTAAAGTTTTATAAAAGTTAATTTTAATTTTTGCATTTTATATAAAGTTGCTCAAATAGCTAACAGTTAAACGCTCTAACAACTATTAAGAGATCTGTTCAGCAAAATTAGCTGGTTTAGTAGCTATTAGCTGTTTTAGTAGTTTTTCATGAAACGCTAAAAGCTAAACGTTATATGAGTTAACTTTTCATAAAATGCTACCTTAACCTCTAAAAATTAATCCAAACGCTATATTATCTAACAATATAAAAATAATATTTAACATTTTAACTAACTACTTAAGAAGCGGATGCGAAATACAGTCTAAAACAGTTAATTTTGCTAATAAACTCTATGTTTGAGTTGAAATAAGCTAAGTTGGAGCTATTTTAAAAAGTAAATTCAAGCTTGATATAAATTCGGATAGAATGGAATATATATATACTAAAACAGTTAATTTTTGCTAATTAAACTTTATGGTTTGAGTTGAAATATAAGCTAAGTTGGGCTATTTATAAATAGTTTAAATTCAAGCTTGATATTAAAATTCGGATAAGAATGGAATATATATATATATAATTTATATATTTATATTATATATATATATAATATATATATATATATATTTATATATATATATTATATATAAAATTGCATATTCCAAATGTCATAAAGTCTAGTAATATATTGTTATATATAAAATTGCATATTCAAATGTCATAAAGTCTAGTAATATAATGTTTGATATGTTTAAAAAATAATAAATAAGTTAAAGTTTAGTTGCATTAAAAGCATTTCAGAAAAGAGAGGCTGCTGTCGGCTTCCCAATTGAAACCAATTAAAAAAAAACTAAAAATAAATTAAAATAAATATGTAATCATTTTGAATTTTATGAAGCAACGAAGATTGGCCAATTAACATATATCGATAATAGCTAATCACCAAGTGCTAACATCTTTCACAATGAGTTATCAAATCAATCCTATAATTAGGTGCAAGTAATATTCGGTTTTTTAGAAAATTAAACCAAATCAATTTATTTGGACTAAATTTAGATAGATGTTTTAAAAATTCAATATTAATCAGATTAGATATAGAAAATAATTTAATTTTTGATATTGATTAAATTATCATATGTAATTAATTAAATTTATTCTTAAGTCCAACTTAACTAATTGATTTCAAATAACCAAATCATTTTGATTTCTGCACATTCAAATTTTATAAAAATATATTTGAATAGCCGAAATCTAGCTTATTCGATTTGGTTCGATTTAATTAAACTAATCCTAACCCCTAACCTATTCTTGCAATAAATAAAATAGTTGAGACGAATAAAAAAGACAATTTCCTATAGGGCCCACCACACATGGCATTTGATGAGACCCAATATATGCCCCCTCTTCAATACCAAAATACGAAAAACACCAGATGTGCCCCTCCCTCTCTCTCTCTCTCTCTCTCTCCAGTCTCCTTATAAATATACATTTACACAGAAACATCTCTTTGTATGAAAAGATACATAAAGAACCGTAGTCCATATACAAGGGAGGAGGATAAGAAAGACGATGGGGTTACAGAACCATCTAAACGACGTCTCATCTGATTCCATCCCCTTGTTGTTGTTAGCACTCATCGCCAAATGCGTCGATCATCTTCGTTGTTTCTTTTTCAGTCTCTTTCACTCTGTCGGTTTTTCTAGATTCAACCCTTCTCGCGCCGTCGACGATGGCTTTTTGTCCTCAATGGGCTCTGGTCTCGCCGGTCTCATCCTCTTCTCCGAGCAGGTCAACCTTAATCGCGTTTTCTCTTACAGGTACTGTTGTGGCGGTGATGATTTAACGAATAAAGGAGGATCGGTTTGTGTAGTGTGCTTGTGCACGCTAAGAGATGGTGACCAGGTCAGAAAACTTGATTGCTGTCACGTGTTTCACAAAGACTGCTTTGATGGGTGGCTTGATCATCTTAATTTCAACTGCCCTCTTTGCCGATCGCCTCTTGTTTCCGATGAGCGCGTCGATTTCACGCGGAGGCGCGTTGGTGGCGATGTAGTGGATTGGTTCTCTATGAGGTGATGCTTTTGCCTGATGCGGTGCTGACTGCTGAGGACGGTGGTGGTGGTGGCGGTGGCGGAGGGATTTTTTATTACTATTATTATTTTTGAAAATGGATTTCTCCTCTTCATTTTCATTTAAAAATTTTTGCCACTTGTTTTTTTTAAATTTCTTTATTTTCTCTTTTCTTTTGAGCGCCCTTCAGGTTCTTTTTGCTTTTGCCCCTTTTTTTTTTTTTTTTTTTTTCCTCTTTTTGCTTTGCCCCTTTTTTTTTTTTTTTTAATGTACCGCTGTTAAATGTTTTTTTTTTTTTTTTTTGTACCGCTGTAAATTTTAGGGCTATAATATATATCTGCTGTAAATTTTAGTAACTTGCGAGTTAGAGCTACAATATATCTGATCTGGTGCTTAGCAGGATTTTTGGATATAGTCTCACAATTAATTCTGAAAATGATTATTACTTGGGTAAAATTACTATTTAGTCTATGTGGTTTTGCTGAAATTGAATATATATCCTATCTTTTGAAATCACTGGACGAATAAGTCATTTCATCCAAAAATTTCTACTTTTTTCTATTATCTATTAAATGATTACTGAAAAACTAAAATATTCTTAATTTTAATATGTTGTTTCTTTCCCTATCTTATATGAAAATCATAAAAAATAAATATAGGTCAAATCTTATTACAAATCTCTCTCTAAAATTCATAATCACAAAAAAATTGCATCAAAATTAAAAAAAATTCAAAAAAAAAAAGGCTGATTTTAAAATAAGGGTACTTTTATTTTTTCGTTACTCATTTAATGGATGAAAGTTTAAAGTTTAGATGAAAGGACTTATTAATGTAATAGTTGCAAACTACATGACTAAATAATATTTTTAAAAAAAGCAATAAACTAAGTAATCGATTTCAACAAACTATAAGGACCAATTAGTAACTTTTCCCTTCTTTTTAACTTATTGATCTGTAGATGATGTGCGGTTAGGATAAGTGACTAGGAAAGTAGATCATATGCTTATCTCATGTAAAAAAGTAAATTCTTTAGATATAATTAAAAAAATTGCATTTTTTTAATTGTAATGAATTTATCAATTTATCCTTTTATCTAAATACATAATTTAAGAGCAATTTATTTATCAAAAATTTATTTTGTATACTAAATACATTTAAATTATATCTTTCTAAAAATAATTTTTTGTAAATGTATTTATGGAAAATATATTTCTCCCAGAAAAGTAATTTCAGTAACAAACTGGGGATTTTAGCTTTTAAGATATTTTTCTATTTTTATTCAATGACTGTTAAGAATTAACAAAAAAATTAAAATTAAAATTTTTTCTTTGACCACGTGTGCTGCACGAATAACTCTAGTGTGATACAAGGGCTTCCGAACCATTTTCACTAAGTTGAGGTGTTTTTTGCCAAAAAAAATTAAAAAATGGGCATTTTGAACCTTTGGCTCAAATTCAAGCAGCAAAATGAAACTTTTCCAAATATTAATCGGTAATTACTACATTAGGCAAGTGAAATTCCCGTTTTCAGAGAGATGATTTACGTATGGGGACCGCGATAATAAATTGCATTTCTTTCAAAGATTCGCTCGAGGCCGGAAAACAACAAGAAACAGAAGGAACCAAGAAAATGTGGATAAAGAAAAGAAAAAAAAAATTCTATTATTTCAAGCCAATTAAATAGCCATGTGCGTTTTCAGAATTCTACTCGTTAAATTGCAAATCAATCGCTAATTTGATTTGATTTGATTTGATTTTGATTAAAAAATATAAACGGTAAAGACGGGATTCAACCGTTAAAAATCCATTAAAATCCAAAATTGTTTGAATTGAACATAACTTATGAATTGATGTCTATAATTAATATTCTATTTAGTGTGATGATAAATTATTATAACTAATACTATTAAACCTTGTTATATTCAAAATCAATGTTAAATCAATTTTAGAGACAACAATGTTTATATTTTAAGGCGTATGTTAAATTAGTCACTATAATTATTCATAGTCAATTGATAATCAAATATTAGAAAGTTATTTACTAATTAATAATTAAAATTTTTAATTATGCAAAGTTAAATAATATTAATAAGTCATTGGAAGCCAAATGCTGAATAATGGTTCTCAATACATTTGAATAGATGGAGAAAATAAACATATAAATACAAATAAAGTATTTTAGAAAAATCTTAATCCATAAGTATGATAAAAAGCTAGTTTATTTTGTTTAAACAAATTCATATGGAAATAAATTATTGATTAAAAATGATAATTATGAAAAGATTATAGTTTATTATTATATTATTAGTTTTAGTTATACAATTTCTAATGTGTACTTTGGATATTTTCGGGTACAAATTGATAAATTGGGTGGCTAATGGGCCCAAACATCTGAAGAAGCAGTACGGCAATTTGATGGGCTGGATTCCAACTTGAATTGAATCGTTTTGTGTTTGGATTTTCATGATAATAAATGTGATTGTGATTGGGGACCCAGCAGAAAGAGGCCTGTCTTGCTCTCTTTTTCAATCCTAGTTGTCCAAATTGTTAAATACAATTTCCACCATAAACTTGCAGTCATATTATAGCATCTCCCATATTAATGGGGATAGTGAATTATCACTGATGTGTCGTATGGAATAGAATGTGTGAGTGTTGATGCGATTGAATGTTTATTTATAGACATTGAATTTTAAATATTTATCTCTAATGTAAACTGCAGTTGATGTGTTATATAGAATAGAACGTGTGAATGTTGATGCGACTGAACACATAGTCAAATGGCTAAGGCAGATCCTTTAAAAAGCTTCAGATTTAGGAGTGTAATTTGGAAGTCTGCTTAAAAATGGCATGGTTGCAAATATCTTTGCCAAAACTAGCAAATTTGGGTGGCTAAATCTTGTCTTTTCTCTAGCTACAAGCCACCCCTCTAAGGCTCTGGTCAAAATATCAATACTTACCAAAAATAAATACAACGGAAAACAAAAAATATTTAACTAATATTCCATAAAATTATAAACCAAAACAGCAAGTGCAATAATTTTATAGTTCTACTAAACATCTAAACCATTTCTTGTGAAGAGGAATGATGAAAGAGAGCTAGCAAGCAAAAATTCACAATGGCAACAGGTTTGACATGCCAAAAGCAACCAAAACCAAATAGTATATAAAAATCGAATCGAATTGGTTCATTTTGATCGGTTTTATTGGTTTTTAGCCTTTTTTTTATGGTTCAAAGCTTGTCTTTTGGGTTTTATGACAAATCTAACACAAAAATTTAAATTTTTTCTATAAAAACTGAAATCAAATCATATGAAATGAAAATTAAATCTGAATCATACTGATTTGAGTTTGTTGATTTAACTAAAATATGCTCAACTCTAACCAAAATATTACATGGCATATGGACTCATGGTCTTGGTCTCGGTCTTGGTCATTAGGCGTGGGCTTTTGTCCGTTCATACAATAAAATAATTTATACTAAAAATTTCTATTAAAGTTCATACTACGACTAACGAGTTCACTTGTTACACCAGACCGCAAACACTAATTAAATCCGCTAATTCACCAAGAATCCAATTCCTTCTTTTCTGTATTGATGAAGTACAATCTTCTTCTCTAAATTTCTTGTCCATAGCTATCTGCATCCATAAAAAAGCATGAAAACTCAAGAATCTTCAGCAATCTCACATCTTCTTCTGTTTTCTCTATTAATCTTTCTATTCAAATGTAAAGTTGAATCAAGAAACCTCCAAGAAAAATGCTCTTCTTCTTGTGGGTATCTCAAGAACATCAGTTACCCATTTCGCCTAACCACTGATCCAACCTTCTGTGGCGATTCTGATTATGAAATCTCTTGCGAGGACAACAAACCCATTTTGGAGTTTCATTTAGGAAAGTATCTTGTTTACCAAATTTCTTATGATAGGCTTAGAATTCGCTTAGTTGATATTAATTTAGCAAATGGTAGCTGTAGCCTCCCTTACATGTCAATTTCGGTAGATGAAGTAAGGGGAGATAGGCGTTATAGAGGATTGGTGTCCAGTACTTTCACTAGTTTTGTTAATTGTTCTAGTGAAATTAATGATCAAGGCTACAGGGAAGTTCCTTGCTCGAGTAGAAATGGGTCTAATGTTTATGTTAGTTATGATAAATATATAATATCTGATCTTCAAGGATCTTGTTCTTTCATTTCAAGGGTACCTACAATTTACCAGAATGTTTTGTACCCTTCCTATGAAAGTATCTTGAAATTGATGGCTTTAGGGTTTGACCTTGAATGGTCTGTTGAGTGCCGGGATTGCATTGTTTCTGGTGGTTCTTGCTCTTTGAGCTCATTGGGTACCTCAAATATCTATGAATGCCATTTTTCAGGTTAGTTTGTTTATCTTTCTTCATTTGCTGCTCTAATGGTGTGGATATTTCGTTTATTGATTTAGGCTGATTGATATGGTTGTTGTATTTGGTTTTTGGTTTTTGTTTTTCTGAGTTGCAAAGAGAATCCTATTATTAAACAGGTTTCTATTGCAATGGAAAATCAGAAGAATTTATTTTTCCTTGTTTCAGCAAACCTGTCTTCCAAGATGCAAAAATTTTTAGTGTAGGACAATAAAAATTAAGAACTGAAATAAGTTTCCTGCTTTCGTTTCTTGAATTGTTCCAGTGGTACCATATTAGGCTTAATTCTTCATTGCTTCTGTGCTTGTGCAGACTTTAATGTGCCCATTTTGGTTGGATTCATCGTTGGCGTCATTTGGGACATTCTGTTAGGTAAAATTTCCAAATTTGAGCTACCATACTTGCTTCAACAGTTACAGTTGAGCATTTTGTATCAAAATTAATAAATTTCTCTCTCTCTCTCTCTCTCTCTTTTTTTTCTTTTTCCTGTTTCAGCAATAAATCTAATTGCAAGATTCATTCTCGCTCCAATAGTTATAGTGGCATTCCTAATCCACAAATATAGAACAAAGAAGACAGAAGATGACAAGGAGAAATTTCTACCCAATCAACAATCCCTTGTGCCCAAAAGGTACTCCTACTCCGATGTTGTTGCAATAACAAGTAATTTCAAAGATAAATTAGGCCAAGGTTGCTTTGGGACAGTGTACAAAGGACAAATTCGAAATGGTTTAGTTGCTGTTAAAATCCTTGGTAGCTCTAAGTTCAGTGATGAGGACTTCATTAATGAAGTCTCAACAATTGGTAAAATTCATCATGTCAATGTAGTACGGTTAGTGGGATTTTGTTCTGAGGGATCTCATCGCATCCTTCTTTTCGAGTATATGGCTAATAAATCTCTTGATAAATATATATTTTCAAGAGAAATGGAACTTCTGCCATTAAGTTGGGAGAGACTCCTTGAAATTGCTTTAGGGACTGCTCGAGGGATCGAGCACTTACATATTGGATGTGATGTATGTATTCTTCATTTTGATATCAAGCCTCATAATGTCCTGCTTGACCAAAATTTCATCCCCAAAGTTTCGGATTTTGGTCTGGCAAAATTTTACCCAAAAGAGTATGATTTTGTGTCAGTTAGTACTACAAGAGGAACTATAGGATATATTGCTCCTGAATTGATTTCCAAGAACGTTAGAGCTGTTTCTTGCAAATCAGATGTTTATAGTTTTGGGATGTTATTGTTGGAAATGGTTCGAGGAAAAAGGAACATTGATGTGAAAGGAGATGCGGACAGTTCAGGCAAAGACTATTTTCCTTCATGGGTTTATGACCATATAAATGAGGGAGGAGATTTAGAGCTAGAGAATGTTAGTAAAGTTGAGGCTGCAATAGCAAAAAAATTATGTATAGTTGGGTTGTGGTGCATTCAAAAGAATGCATCAGATCGTCCATTAATGACCAAGGTGGTGGAAATGTTACAAGGAAGAGTCGATGATCTGCAATTGCCTCGTAATCCTTTGGCTTACCCTGATTATATTGCTACAGAAGAAGCTCAATCCGATTCTTCAACAGAACTGCTAATATCTGAGACAGTGGAACAAAGCTTGTAGAATGACAGATGCTTAACAGAAAACATAATGAGAAGGAAAAGTAAAAGGAAAGTTGGGAAACGAGAAATAATAGTTATATAATATTCGACTTAATGAGGGCTTTTCTCCTACAGATTTCTGAAATGGAAAAGGTCCACATCCTTTAGCTCCGCCTGCAATTTCCTGTATGTTACTGCTTAAATAGTATTGTCCGTGAAGTTTTCAGAATTCACTGTTAAAGTAAATGTCCGTTGCTTATCAGCAACAAATGTTTCTGTGTTTTTGCTCAATTCTGTAATGTCAATGCAAATTGCCTTATTTTGCTGATACAATAGGCTGTTTACATATACATATCCATTTTATGCTGCGTCTAGTATCCTGTGTTTATAATTGTACTCCCATTGCTTTTTTACCAAGTATTCCTGAATTGCCACAATGGTTGTCTTCCATGAACTGTGCAATTTTGATCTCCAGCACAGACCAGGCAATCTTTATTGATTCGCCAGATTTTTTGTTATGTTTGAGCCTGAGACGGTAATGTTATAGTACTCTTGGCTCCACTGGAGAACTGGAACTCAAAGGCTTAAAATTCAACTCGAGTTTGATCAAGCTTTAAATCTTCATTCTTGAGCTTGACTCAGATTAATATTAAGATAAAGTTATATATTTGAAATAAATACTTTAGGTAATCATAGGATAAAAGTCTGTATAAAGAATGTCCTTCATTTGCAGGCAAAAGTGGCAGTTCTCGTCATTCTGAAGATTTTGGTTTTTCATTCATCTTAGATTTCTTGATTTAGTGGGTGTTCTTTTTTCTTCATGTAAAACTATGTATGATCCTTGATTAGCAGAAGGCAAGGCATTATAAGAATTTAGTAGCCTTATCTATATGAGGTTGTAATGACAAAACTACCATTACATTAAAATTAATTACTACTATTTACTAGCATTTACAGTTGCCAATTCTGTGTACCCATAGTCTATACTTCTGCAGATTAAGCATATTCGTAGAAAATTCTGCAGATTCTTGTGGTCCTATAATTTTTTTTAACTTTTTTACAGGGGCCCTTTAGCATTTATTATCTATATTTCTTTCACAAAGTTGCAAAATCTGACCAGAGAAAGAGAAAAACAGATTTGAAAAACACAGAAATATTAGCAAATAGCAGAAAGATGAGCCCTTTTCTTTCTCTTTTTCTCATCCAAAGAAAACCCTTCTAATCCTAATTTATATTTCCCAGAAGGAGATGCCTTTCTTTTAGCAATTATTGCATTATTTTTTTAAATCAAAGGAATTTAGATAATTACAATGCAATAATACTTTTCTTGAATAATTTTGCAATGCTTAACTGCATCTATCATTTGGTCATCATGAGCTAATAATAAATGGAGACTCTGTGTGTTTGTGTTTCAGTAGGGAGGATAATGGCAGCCAGCAATCATGCAACCTTCCTCTCCTTGAACTTCATTTGCAGAAGTGAATTAAGCTTAGTACATTTTATTAAACATAGTACATGTTCTAGAAAGGTAACTCGTAATATTATTTTATCACATTAACCTTACTTAGTGAGATTCTATATTGCAATTACTCTGTAAAATCATACCTTAATTATTTAAGAGTATGCCAATGCACCAAAGTGAAATCAAATTGAGTCCATTCACAATTTAACAACCTTTTGCGAAATTAGTTAGTTTAAGTAATTAAGTAAAACATTAATTAACCAAGCTAGCCATATGCAATCTCTCTGCTTTTAAGTTTTAACCCACAATTTTCAAAATCATTGAAATTTAAAGTATCATAGAGCTCACCAATTTTGAAGTTGAAAAGGACAATTCTCACATATTCTTTTTATACACTATCTTTTACCAATTAAAGTGATGAGAACAAAATTAAAAAAAAAAAAAAAAAAAAAAAAAAAAAAAAAAAAAAAAAAAAAAAAAAAAAAAAGAAAAAAATAAAGGATATCCAAGCGGAATCTGAATCCTAATCAACCTTCTTACCTAAGCTTTTGGCTAATTGTAAATTAACAAAAAGCATGCCATAAAAGAAGAAGATTATCAGTTGTAATATAATTTAATTAAAAAAAAAAAAAAAAAAAAAAAAAGAGAAAAAATAAAGAGATATCCAAAGCGGAATCTGCATCCTATCAACTTCTACCTAGCTTTGGCTAATGTAAATTAACAAAAAGCATGCATAAAAGAAGAAGAATTATCAGTTTAATAATCGAGTATTTGCCTTATAATAATAAATTCAAAGATCGAACTTTGATACTCTATAGGTAAAATTTTCGACATATAGAAAAAGAAAAAGAAAAAGAGAAATAGAAGTCATTTTCTTTGATCTTCAAATCATAACAAAGGAAATAAAAGGATAGGTGTAAGCGATGCATGCCCGGTAGCATTACAAACTAACATTTTCCATAACCCAAAACTCAACCTTCTATCAAGAACTCACCATTAACCCTAATTTTAAGCTACCTCGTATGCATCTCTTACATCCCATGTTTTATAACATAAGCCAGAACAGGATAATAATAATAATAAAAAAAAAAACCAACCCAATAGCTAAGGGCAAAGCTGTAAATAAGCAGAAAGACGTGAGGTTAAACAAGGAATAAAAGAAAATTAAAACACCTAACGTTAAGGTAAATCGGACCGCTACCCTCAATTCCCCGCAATGCAATAATATCACTCTCCCAATTCTACCCTTCAAGGCAAGAAACTCAGGAGAGTGCAATTGCAAAGCTTTGTTTTTTTTGGTTTTTTTTTTCACTTTTCACCCATATTTACAAAGAGACCACCCTCCTTTGGCGTGCCACCACTTCCTTTGTAACCACTGCCATAGTTGGCGGAGCCACGGCGGCGGCTGCTAATCATCTTCAATGATACAAACCAAGTGAAGCAAAAACTAAATGCTCTTAGCTAAGTATTGCTAAGAGAAAAAACTAGCTCATAGTAGTTAGTAGTAGCTATAGGGCATAAGGGGACATGATGGGCCAATATATAAAGGCAAGATTATTAGCTTTTTCTTCAATTTAAGTGGGATTTTATTTTATATTAAATATAATTTTATTTTTCAATAATTCTATTATTTTTATATAATAATTAAAACGATGTTGGAATTGAATTTTTAATACGAGAATAAATATATAATTATAATTTTTTTAAAAAATAATTATAAGACACATAAGTAATATTTTTACACTAGATGTTTTTCTTTAGTTTAATGTTATAAAAGGAAAAAGAAATTAAAGGTGATGTTGAAATTGTTGGTCTAAGATGGTTAAGGGCATGTTTGTGGGGAATGGAAAAAACTCCACTAACTCGATTTTCAAGGGCGTTGGAGTTTTCATATTATTCTGAAAAACGGAGAAGGAAAAGTGGGCGTTGATGGGGTTTATTTGTCTGTGTATGTGAACGTGGCTTTGGCTTTGGCTTTGTTGAGTGCAAAATTTATACAAAAGAGAATCACTTAGCTCAAGAAAAGAAAAAAAAAAATTGAACTTTTTAGTTTTAATTAGCTTATTATTGAGAGATGTGGTGATGGGATGGCTATTTTTCATGGCCAGCTTTAGATAATTAGTTTTTGCTTAGAACGATGTGCACGGATATTTGAAGCACACAATTCGCTCAAAAACAAATTAATTTAATATTCGTCATGTTTAAAAAATAATTTATTTTCAAAAATTAATTATTTTTTGGTTTTAACGAGTAATAAATTATTTTTTTTCATATTTATTTTTTGTATATGATCAATAATTATTACTTTAATTTTTAATAATTTTTTTAGAGAATTAATATGAAATTAAAGATAATATGGTCAATTTACTCAATAATTTATTATAATTTAGACAAATTTAATAGTTTGTTTAAGAGACGTGACAAATATTATAGAACAGAAGTAGTATATACTAGAAAATTATGAATATGATTAACGGGCAATCAACTATTCAAGTAAACATATACTTTTGGTGTCTCAAACTATAAGTCGTTTAAGTTTTTTTGCTTATAAATTTTTAAAAAAAATAATTCTCTTATATTATAACAAAAATAAAAATAATTTCATCAAATTATCTTTTATCTCACATTATTAATCATCTCTCACATTATTATATTGTATCTAATATAAATAAAGGTAATATTGAAAAAAAAAATATTACTGTTTAAAATACTAAAAAAGGCTTATATTTAAGAACAAAACAATCACCTCAAAATGACTTATATTTTAGAACAAAGGGACTATGAATTTGTTGATGTTACTAATTAAACAACAATAATTAAGCCAACCAAGTGCGGTAATGTTATTCTTCTCAATTTTATAGAGAGTGAAAGATTTTCAATTTGAGACCTCTCGATTATAACAGTTTTCACTAATTTGGTGAATAAATGAGAGGATTGTCCTTGTTGTGTAACCCATAATGTTTTTTAAGCGTTGCGACCTCCCAATAAATAAAAATAATTAAAAATTAAAATAATTATTTCTTTTTCGTTTTTTTTAACATGATATTCACACGTAGGAAGTCTTAAGTTTAAACCTATAATCATGGGAGTGGTATTAGGTGTTAAGTAGGTTGATTGTTGACTTTCAAGTTTCAATTCCAAATTGTTTGGTTTGATTCACCTATTTGGAAATGTAATTACGTCATTGAGGTTGAGCCATGATTTTTCCTATTAATGTTTGATCAAATTCATGTCAAATTGAACTTAATTATTATTAGTCAAAAGCTTAATTAGAATTTTAGGAGTCATAAGGCCGCTAATAGGATTTTGCTTATATAGGATCAACCTTGACCGTGACATTGACAAACAACCTTTGTGAAAAGCTCATGCACGCATGCTTTCTTGAATATTTTTCCGTCTTGCACAAAATCCTTTTGTAATACCATTAAATTGTAAGTTACTAATTTTAAACTCAATAACTTATCCAAATTTATTATTTTAAACATTTAAAGAAAAGTTACTAATTTTTAATATAAACTTATCCGTATTACTATATATGATCTCAACTATTTAAGAAATTTATTTGATAGGATTAGTTCAGTTGATAAAGCTGAGTGCTCCTCCTCGTCATCAATTTGAATTTGAAATTATTTAAAAATTAATTTTGAATGCATCAAGTGGATGTAAGAAAATGCACACTTAAGATCATACAGAAAAAGGATTTACGCTGGATTCTACAATAGCTTTTTAATTAGCTTCCAGTCAAAACGCATTACTTTTTAAAGTATTCGGTAATATAGCATTTAAATTAGTTTTTAGATATTAAGATAACATTTTATAAAAGTAAGCTCATGTAACATTTTATAAAAGTAAGCTCATGTAACATTTAATTTTTAGCATTTTATAAAAAATTACTCAAACAACTAACAGTTA